CTAGTGTACAACACGTTTGTACACTCCTCCACTGGTTTGACACCCTACCGGTTACATTGGGGTAGTGAACCGCGGTCGCCTCTCGATGATATCATCGACAAGGCTACCCCTGCATTGACACCTGGAACTGCATAGTTCACCAGATGCTATCGAGTAGACATTGAGCGTGCCCGTGCCAACTTACTCAAAGCCCCAAAGGCTATGATTCAGCAGGCTACCAGGCACCACCGACCCTCTACCATTCGTGCTGGTGATTGGGTTTGGGTGCTCAGTTATGAACTATCACGAAAGGAGGACATTTTGCCGAAGTTGTTGCCACGATACATGGGTCCATGGCAGGTTTTAGATACAGTAGGGGTTCATCCTTTCAGACCATCATACGCTGTTGATGTCTCCCTGCATCTACAAACCTATCCGGTCTTCCATGCATCTAAGCTGTTGTCTTTTACATCAGCTGATGCATTTCTGGACAGACCACCTCAATTTGGTCCACTGATCCCTGGCAAGGGATATGAAGTGGAATGGATTTAGGATGAGATGGGCACAAGTCCAGATCTGCAGTATCTTGTGAAATTCCTGTGCCAGCCTCACTCCGAGGATCACTGGTTTACTCGAAAGGAACTCCTCAAGACAACAAAGTTTGTTGTCCTTCGATACGAGACAGCGAAGAAGGGACAAGCCCTTCGACACTCTACTCATCTACACCCCTAGCTCGGAGGTCCTCGCTCCGAGGGAGGGTAGGCCTGCAATGACTTGCTGATTCTGCAGCCTGCTGCCCGTCGAACCGAGGCTGTAACATAGGTAGGACAAATTCGTAATTTTGTTTCTACTATGTACTAACCTGGAAATCAGCGTGTGGGGAAATACGTGAGGGAAATATCTGCAAAGTTGTAAAGACTAACAAACCCGCACTAATCCTTTTTCCCTATAGTCACCCTAACTACAAATAGCAGGCCCGGGCTACCACGCGGACAGACAGGCCTAAGGGCCTACACGGATAGACTAATCCTATAGCCTATAGTCGGGCAAGGAGTGGCGCTAGAGGCCGAAACTGAAACGGTACCGGTCGGTCCAATAGGTCCGGTCTAGGTCGACTCTAGGCTAGAGTAGATCTATTAATAGATTGGGGGAGGCTGCTCATGGCTTTCGGCGGTTGGCATTTTGCAGATCACGACGACACAACGCGTGAACCGGAGTGGTGACAGCTTCAGCATTGAGGAAGACAGACATAGCCAGACCCTCGAAGCACCGGCCATAGCTGGGTCCTTCGCTGTTCTCTGGAAGCACATGGGGCTGCTCAAAGGTCTGGGCTATCTGAGGTCTGCTGGGAGTTGGTGCCCTGTGGAAACCTCCTCAAGAGTAGGCTTCAGGGTGGTGGCGCTGCAGCCAGAGCTGCAGCTTACATCCTTAGAGATCTCCTTTTGTCAGGAAAGGTGGCGCTGCTGCAGATCTGTACTAGTGACAAGTGGGCCCGCCGCGGCGACGCCGCGGCAAGGAGAGCCGGTGTGGCGAGGGCATGTGGTGTGAAGGGAACAGGGGTAAGGCATAGAGGGAGGCAGAGGTGTATGGAGACACCAAGGCTAGATGGGTAAAGTACATTGTGAAATGCAGAATGCACCGGCAGTTCCAACATGCCAGCCCAAAAAGTTACACACACCGTTCGTTTCCAATCTCTGTTTCTCTGTCTTCTTTTTGCTCTCTCTTTCTCTCTTTCTTTCTTTCTCTTTCTCTCTCTGTCTCGCTCTTTCTCTCTCTCTCTCTCTCTCTCTCATTCTCTATTTCTCTCTCTCTCTCTGTTTTTCTCTCTCTCTTTCTCTCTCTCTTTCTCTCTCTCTCTCTCTGTGTTTCTTCCCGCATTGTGCTTGGCGGGTGTTGGTGCTTGTCGTCTGTTCCATCTCTCTCTCTCTCTCTCTCTCTCTCTCTCTCTCTCTCTCTCTCTCTCTCTCTCTCTCTCT